TGTTTTATAGCTTGCCCTACCAAAAGAAAAGTACTTTTCTTCCCTGGAATTCTAGCAGCTGAATGCAAAGGAAGGAGGGTCACTAGTGAGTTAGTCCCATGAGGGACTATTAGGTGTGCACAGATTCCTTTGGAGCACAAATCCATGTGCTAAAACATCAATAGGACAAAAGGGTTAGGAACTACAATGAATTTGCTAATAAAAATTTTCCATAAAATTCAAGATTGTATCCCAACATGCTCAATATTGAAAAGGAGGTTCCTCCCCTCTTGCTCACCTAGAGTCCCAGGCAGTTGTCACTGCTTCCTGTGCACGTCCCCAGGCCCACCACTGCTGTGGCTCCTGAGAGCCTCACTGGACTCCCATTGCAAACCTGGCCTTAATTTTAACGAAGTTTCTAAAAAGCTGGCCTGCTTCTTTGCCAGGGTATACATGCTAATTGTATGGCCAAGGAGCACACAGACCACAGAGTTTTGGCATATTTTGTGCATTTTCCAAAACTTACCAGAAACTTGAATGTTATTAAATGTCTAATCAAACCCTAACCCTCAGTCTATGTAAAAGTGATTTTCCCCCTTCTCTTTTAAACCAGAGCTATTTAAACTATGCTCAAACATCTGACCAACCAATAATTTATCTATTTGGCCATTTTATTTTCCTCACCATGTTACTCAAGATCACCATTTAGCCTTGTGACATTCAAAAATTCAGCTTTGATTTTTGTGACTGGTGCTACTTATGTCAGAAGTAATTTTTAACTTAAAAAAAAAAAAAACTAGCCTAGAAGCTCTTCATTTGCTAATACTGCCAATAGTTTGTGTTAATAGTGCAGTTGATGCCCAAGAAGCAATTCTAGTATGATTTTTAATAAGTTTGGAAAATTCTCCAAAAGTCCCTCAGTAACGCTTTAACTACAGAATAGTCAGACCTCTCAACTTTCACCTCTTTGCCCCAAGTCTGAGACAAATAAGGTAACTATCTCCCATGACAATCTCATGTTATGTCTTAGGCTATTGCTCCTTGCTTCCCATGAAATCTCTAGAGTCCTGTACTGGTGTCCTATAGGTATATTCAGTGCTTCTGTATGGCCATTAAAGACGGTGCCATTACAGACTAAATACACTTCCCCAAGCGCATCTGCTTTAAGACCAAGTTGGCTGTTAGTCTCTCTTCAGTGCAGTTCCTTTTTATCTTGAGGCAGTAATCTCCAACCGTGGATCATCAGTGTCTACTCACAGTGTTTCAAAAGAACTTAAGTACAGCTTGCTCTTCTGAAAAAATATTGTTAATATCTTTGTGGACTCATATAAAATCATTATTAGATTCAGCTAGTGATTAAACCTTTTTCTGATCAACTAGAAAATGTTTAACATTCACATGTCTCCAAACTGTCATTGACTATTGGTTCCAGAGTTTTGGAGTAAGTTTGAGAAAGGCTTTTTCCCCAACAACTTTGGAGCTCAGTGAGGCTAAAAAATAAAACCCAGGTGCATCCAAGATCTGATTTCAAGGTAAGATTTACTGCTTTACAAACACAAACATGATACTTGGTCTTAATAGAAAAATGACATCAGATACACCGAGAATATGTTTAGCATCGGGAGAGCTGCCAATTCGGCACAAAACATACATTTTTAGGAGCAGGGAGGCGTGAAAATAAACTATATCTTACATTTCGGTGCATCAGAAACGCTTGTTTAAAAAGTATTTTGCTTGAATTAAGCCCTTTAGTATTCTTTAAGTGTAAAACTTTATAACTTGGGCTCTGACCCTAATGTTTGATCTTTATAATATTCCATACATATCTGACTAGTGCACTTATTGTTATGTACAGAATTTAAAATGTGATGATTTGGGTATAAAATCTGGTTTGATACATGATATAAACTATTCAAAGTTGTATATAAAATCAAGGAAATGTTTTGTGAACTATTTCTACTGGAGAATGTATTTAAATTAAAATAATTAAAAATAAACATGAAGTAGTGATCTGTTAACTAGACAGGTCAGTTAGCTGTGTGCCTAACTGTCACTATAGTTGAATAACTGCCACAGGGCTCAGAAGCATGCCATTTAAGAAGCATTTTGTAATTAAGTGGTAACTTCAACATTCGAGTTGGAACTATGCAACCAGTTCATAAAGGAGCCATTACATGAAGATAAACCTTTCCTGTCTTGTTGCTAAATTCCAAGTCTTTTATGATCCAGAAATGCCAGGATGGTATGATTCAAATGCATTGGGTGTGAACTGCACCTTGAACTTGCCCATCCCTTCGTCTGTTAAACCTTTTCACATAGCTGCTGCTGCTCCAGAGCAGTCCATCTCCTGGTCGGAGGCGCCCTCTGAGGACATGGAGCAGAGCTGTAGGGAGCTGCCGTCTCTTATGGTAGAGGTGGCCCATCACAATATACCTGGTGCCTGCAAAAATAACCAAAATATAAATGCATAGTGTCTTTTAAATGCCATTAAATTAAAAAAAAAAAAAGTAAGACTTTTAAGAAATGTCTAAGCCTGAATATTATCTTGGATCTCAGACACTAAACTCTCAGAAAACAGGTGGAAACAGTCTAGTAACCTTTAGAAGATAAACCGATAATCGGCCTGTTAACAGTCAATATTAGAGAACAAAGGTCCTAATCACAACTTAGCAGGATTTTCCAAAGCACATCTCTAGAAAGACGTGGCAGTGGGTATGGGCCACCTCCCCAACAAAGGGACTTAGCTAAACTCAGTTTAAACAGAGCCCCTTATGCATCTCTTCTGGCAACGGTGTTTCACCATGCACTCCACCTGTCAATATTTACTGAGTGCCTGCTTTGTGCCAATCAGTGATGTTCCCACGGAGGCACGGGCAGTGGGGGGCTGATGGAGCTTAAATCACAATGGCCGAAATACCTGTCGTCTAAATTCTATTCATTTTAGAATACCCCTCTCCCTCAAAAAAGTGACCAAAAGACCGAGCTGTGGCGCCCAAGTTACAAATGATGACATAAAGTACTTATAAAAGGTGGTCAGATCAGTTTCGATACCAGGTTTAAATTCTGGACATGGCTTATTGCAACTGGAGGAGTCTAGGGCTAACATGTGGACTCGGAAGAAAAACCCGTCCGGAGTGATGTACAGGCGGTTCATCTTGTACAGCCCGTCCCGGTCCACCAGCAGAGTCACCAGCTGGATCCCTGAGCCGAGCACGTCCACATCATGCACGATTCCGTTCACTGCTGCTTTCAAAAAACAAAGTTTGGAGAAATGCATAACGCTCACTTCCTTTCCTTCCCCAGTGCGTTTTTAACACATCACGACATAGTCCACACGGGTCTGGGGCCTGCAGGATCGAGTGGGTGGGTTTCTCTAGGGTTTGGCTTAGGGTGTCCGCGTGCACAGCCGGACGCTCTCGGCTCGGAAGGGCTCGCCCGGCAGCCGAGGCTCTGCAGCCCGGGCCCGGGAGGAGCTGCGGGGCGGGGCTCACCGAATTCGCTCGCGCAGTA